CATTTTGCTTTCAGTCTGCAGAGCAATGCTGGTAGTATTAAATGTTGTTGGCGGTATTTTTTTTTTTTTTTGGAGGTAAGCGCACTATTTACGAGCACATTGTTGCAAGGTCGTTTGGTTTTTTTTTTTGTTGTTATATGCGCGCACGCTTTAACAACGCTCGCATGTGTTTACTTTATGTGCAGTTTGCGGAGAATGTATGCTTGTATGCCTTTGTGTGTATGCAAACGCCTTGCTTCGTTGCGCTTTACTTGCTCCTGCTGCACAAACAAACGCAATTATAGCGCGCATGTGTGTTTAAATGTGTTTGTTTTTACTTTTATAGTTTTTCAGCTTTTTCTTGTTGTTTTACATGCAACTCCTTACTAATTTAATCGCCTTTTTCCTGCTTTCCTGATTTCCTATGTTGCATGCATGCATTTATGCAACTTGCCACTCAAATTACTGCAGTTTGTGATTTATTTGTTGGAATTTTGTAGTGGTTATTTTTGTGATTTTTAATTTGACCCAACTCAACGCCCTTACACTTAATAACAGTAAACGTTAAATGGAAAATATGTCAAGCGGAAATACATTTAAAGTTTATTTGCACTCGGCGTTAATTTGCTCGCGTCGCGCAGTCGTCAAACATTGCTACAACAAGAAAAAACTGCAATTACTTTGCTCATTACGTCCCTTTTCAAATTTATTTTTTATACTCGCAACAAGTTGCTACAGAGTATAACGGTTTTGTTCACCTAACGGTTGTATGAAATACCAAGATTTATAAAGGTTGAGCCATTTCGAGGTTCCCATCTTTTTTAAAGAAAAAACATAGAAACTTCAAATTGAATAGGAAATCTTTATTATAATTCAAAATAACATTATTTGGTATTTATTTTTTGAAGATTACCTCTTTCAAATGTTCGCCACGTCTCCAGAGTCCGCCGAGTGCAATTTTTGATGACTCGTTCGACCATTTCAAGCACCATACTTTACATATTTGCATAGAAAAAAGTTTCACGTTGTAATATCACACGATCTTGATGACCAATCGACCGACCCAAAACAATATCTGCTCACCGAAGTGTTCTCTCAATATTAATTGATGCGATGTGCGGGAAGTGGCGCCATCTTTTTGAAAGCAAATAGCGCCGAGATCATAAGCTTCAATTTTAGACATCAAATAGTCGGTCATCATTGCGCGATAACGATCGCCATTTACGATTACGTTCTCACCAGCATCATTTTTAAATACGGACCGAGAATTCCACCGGCCCACAACCCCCACACAAAATCGTTGTTTTTTCTGGATGAAATGACAGCTCTTGAATCTCTTCAGGTTGCTCTTCATCTCAAATGTGGCAATTTTGTTTGTTTACATACGTATTGAGCCAGTAATTGGCCTCATCGCTGAACAAAATTTGGGTCGAAAACGCCGGATCTTCTTACAACTTTTCAAAAGCCCATAGAGCGAAGCTAGGGCGGTTAAGAAGGTCGATCAGGTTCAAGGCTTCAGTTCTTTCACAAGCTGTACTTTATTTTCTTCACTGCGTGCTATACGTAGTTTATTCGGTCGAATATTATTCAACAATGAATTCTAATGGGTAATGGTGTTGGGAACAGTGGCTCAGTAGTAGAACGATGTATAAACGTTGTTCATGTTGAAATGCCAAATAATACTGAACAAAAGCAACAGCTTGACACAACTCACGGGTGATCTGTCAAAAAAAAAAGTTGAAAAAAGTGCCTTTACTTAGTTCAACTGTCGAATAATAAATATTGAATTGTTTCGCAACGAGTTGTTCTTAATATAAAGTTGAAATCACGCTTCCCGCCTGATATTTGGAAATAGCGAGCGGCTACAATGTTCAATTTCAACCGAACTCAGCCTTCCTTACATATTTTTTATATTTATGCTGCCAGCCGGCGTCATTATTTCGCTTTTCGATGTACGCCATAAATTTTACGCGCTTTATATGTCATCCATTAGTTGACAAATTTTGTTATTATTTGATTTTTTTTTTCCTTACTTTTTCGTCCTTATTTGCTTTTTGCTTGTTTTTGATCATTTTTCGTCTGCTTCGTCTGCTGTATCCTTACCACCATACCATCTGCAGCCACAGTGTTCACATGCCCTATAACGGTATGTGTCCTTGCCGTCAGTGTCATTGCTCGGAGAATGAGCGCAGCGCTTACGAATATTCGCTCTGCTGCTTGCTCGCTGGTGTGCGTGCCTCCGCCACTTTAAGCCAATTTAATGCTGCAATTATTGCAGCAATGAAGACTGTGCGTTCGTCGCAAGCAATGTCAAAATATAATTGGAAATTAATTGAAAAGTGTGTGTACTGATGTTTGTATATAAAGGGTGTATTTTTTGGAGCTTTATGAGATTAATTAAAATAATATACAATATATAATTTGTCATGGCATTTAGAGTTTGAACAAAATTTTGGACTTATGAACCATTAAAATGAGTCAGAAGTTAACCTAGCGAGTTCATGGGAGACACAGTGTAACAAATATCAAATTATTGATTTTGGTCTTTCTGTTTGTGTGACAGCTATATGACATACTGGTTCGACCAAAAAAATATCTTCAGACATTGTGACGTTGCCTTGGACAGTAATACCTTGTCAAATGAAAAAGTTTTCTAAACAAGTGCGTTATTTTAATCGTTCAGTTTGCAGCTGTGTGCTACGGTAGTCCGATCTGAACAATTTCTTCAAAAATTGTGCCGTTTGCTTAAACACAAATTTTACCCAAAATTGGAGAAAATATCTTTTTAAGTAAAAACGATTTTCATAGAATGACATGATTTTGATCGTTCAGTTTGTATGGCAGCTATCAGCTATAGTGGTCTAAAATCGGCGGTTCCAACAAATAAATAGCTGCTAGTGCAGAAAACGACGTATGCAACATATCAGAACGATATCTCAGAAAATGAGAGACTAGTTCGCGTGTATACAGACAGATTTTTAAATGTCATTCCAAAGTCTCTTTGCATAAAAGTTTTTCTACCGGTTTACTTTGATAGCTAATTTGAAAGCTATCTTTAAAAATTATATTGCAGTTCTAAAATCGCACCCTTTAAATATTTATTTATAGAAATATATATGAAGCCTTATATATGTATGTTGTTACTCTTATAAAGCCATATGTCAGCTGTGGGTGTTGCGTTGGCTTATAACATTTGCCAGAGAGGACCAAATAAATTGGCTTATTAGGGCAGATTTTAAGCTGACAGATAAATTATATATATATTTGAGGACAGCTCTACACACATACACATATTTTAATGTACATTGTCAACACGCCACTGTAAAACATGCCATGCCAAACTATAAATTTGCATATCCGTTGATATCATTTGCCGCTTTCGTCACAAAATTTTATGCTTCAAATGGCTTTTTGACTCATATTCGTGGAATTTATATTTAATGCATAAATTAATGCAATTACTTTGGTAGAAAACATACACAAGTAAATTTCYGGAAAAGTAAAGTAAAGTGAAAATTCGTTAATGTAAAATTGTCAAAATAATGATATTGCTTTTTGGTTCCAAGAAAGGCTTTTACATGACAGAGATACTCTGGAGTTTCAACAATAAGCCAAACAAAAAAACTTTTTGCTATTGTTTTGTATTCTGAATTGACTCAGTTTTGAACTCAGATAACACTGAATGGTTGTACCACCCTTGTAGGCCAACTAAATAACGCTCGGGAAACTAAAAACGCTTGAGAAGTCTGGAACGGGGTGCCGTCGTAGCGCATATTATACAAATTTAAAGTTAAGCATAAAAAAAGGCTAGTTATATTCAGATGCACTCCGAAATTTTTTTTCTGAGAATACATGCTACTGTAGCCGTCCATGGTGGACAAAGTTGTCAAGTTGGCTCTATCAACAGTGACATAATAGTAAAAACTTATCTGATGAAACTGAAAGATCCCAAAAATCTGTGTTCGTCTGAGTTCTTACTCTTAGAACTTGAAAAAAAAAACAAAGCACTTCCCTAGAGGTATGCGTCGAAACGATGCTCCGTTAGGTTAAACCTTCTTATGGTGGCAATTGAACAATTGTACTCAGATCTCATTTTTATTTAACCTCTGCTGAAATGTTTTATTTCAATTCCCACCAGCTCACCGGGGAGTCTGAAAGAGCAGTTTAGAAGTGCTTAAGAATTGATCGCGTTAGAAAAACGAAGTGTTGAGATGTAGCTACCTCATCTTCTTCTAAATAGTTTCTACAACTGTTATTATGTTAGGATCTCAACTTTACGGCGCAAACATCGATACACAATGACCACTACGCGATTATAGCCGAGTTAACAATCTTCTCGCTTTAGTTCGCCTTCAAACGAATGTTCTTTGGTTACACAGAGAATACTTGGTCTAGGCCTTGAAGTTGTGAGTTGCTTGAGTAATATGTAAAAGACGTCGTTTCTGGCCACTTCTGGAACTTCTACACATGATTCAATGCTTAACAAGAGAAAGGCTATGCTTACTAAGGGAGAAGAGCTCCCTAGACATGTAGCGATCCACTTTTGGGCAAATGGATCTTGCGACAGTGCTAGAACAAAGGAAGCGCTGGTCAAGTTTAAACAAATCCCAGCTATACAGTAGTAGAACGCACAAGAGAGTCTCCGACCCGTTCCTATTCTGTTGAGAGGGTGACTTTTTGGCAGTTCGCTTGCCTTCTTCGATGCGCTCTATCAGCCAATATAAAACTATATTTCCAGGAGATCGTTCGCCTAAGTCTAAGTTCTAAGTCTTGAAAGCTTCTGTTTCTATAGCTGACGAGACGTAAGTCACTAATCTGATTGCCTCCTGTACTCAGAGGTAGAAAAAATAACCTAACAAGGAGGTCGCTTGTCTAATTCTAAGATCTAAGTGTGTTTCTATAGTTTTAGAGATCTATAAATCTGATTTATCTTACCCACGATACTCAATACTGTCTTGCAAGTGAAAAAATATATTTTTTATTTTACAACACATTTAAATCATCTTACTTTCTCATTGCAGTCTAACGTTTGGACCCAACCCTATTCAATTGCTGGCGCACAAAACTCGAGACGAAATGACTAAATAAGACTGAAAAGAAAAGAAATAAAACGACAACGCTGAAAAAGTAAGCGTGAAGAACCGTGTGACCAGGCGGAGTAATCAAATCACAGAGACGACGACAACGACGGCGAATGAATAAATTCAACAAACGATTTAACTACCTAATAGACGAGTTGGTAATTACGCATGCGCCCGGTTTGTGGCGTGTGGGTAAGCTGTTGCGGCAAACGCGCGGCGAAAAAGTGGACAAACCAGCAAAACTTGCCAATCACACAAAAACAACAACAAAAAAACGCAGAAACAAATTTAATTAAAAGCAAATTCTATGCGCTGCAAGAGATAGATTAACAAAGCGCACAACGACAAGAACAACAACACAAAAGCCAACTATGCGCTGAGCTCAAAAAAACCATGAAAAAGTTTATCTTTCTTTTTTAACGCCACACACGCGCGCATGCAGACATATACACATGCACACTTACTATCTCAACACACAAGCAAGCAAAACCTTACATATCAACGCCACAGCGCGCGCTTCCAAAGCGAACGTCAAACGTTAAATAAGATAACCAATAATAAATAAATACACCGCGACAAACATGGTCAAGGGCATTTTGGTGAACCGCAAAGCGGATGACGCGCACAAGGCGCAGCTGAAAATGGAGCACGCCGACCTCGTCGCCGAAATGCAAACGGTGGAAAATCTGCCGACGCACGAGCGCCTGCAGCTGGCGCGACTGTAAGTGCCAGCACACAAGCCACCAACAAACACTTAACAAGTTCTCTTTTTTAATTTCTCACTTCACTTTCAGCCGCCGCACACAACAGCTTAAGGTCGCGCGTCAAAAGGAGAAGGAGTGGCTGAAATTGCAACGCGCCAAAGGTAACGCGACCTCAGCGCTCAGCGGCAGTCACACCACACATCACTTTCGCTCGAACTCGGGCAGCGCCAGTCGCCACATATCCTTCGAGAGCAGCGTTGTGCTGCTGGAGGCTGCAAGCCGCAATGATATGCACGAAGTGGCCGAGCTGCTGGAGCGTGGCATTACGCCGGATGCGGCGAATGAGGACGGCTTAACGGCGCTACATCAATGTTGCATCGATAATAATATTGAAATGTTGCGCTTGCTGCTGGAGTATGGCGCGAATGTGGACGCGCAGGATAGTGATAAATGGACGCCATTGCATGCGGCTGCCACATGCGGACACTTGGAGCTGGTGCGAATACTCATCGATCATGGTGCGAATTTGTTGGCAGTGAATACGGATGGTAATATGCCGTACGATCTGTGCGACGATGAGAATACCTTGGACTACATAGAGGCTGAGATGTCGAAGCGCGGCGTGACGCAAGAGCTGATCGATGAAACGCGCTCATCGACGGAGCGTCAAATGCTGAAGGATCTGATGGAGGTGGCGCGCACAGGCGGCGATCTTGAGGAGCCGGACTACCAGGGTGCTACGCCGGTGAGTTGGGTTATGAGTTTTTGTTGACGCATACCCTTTTATTTGTTTTTCGATTGTTTCTCAAAGTTACACATAGCTGCGGCAAATGGCTATGTGCGTGTGGTGGAGTTCCTGCTGGAGATGCATGTCAATGTGGACGCGGTGGATAAAGATATGTGGTCGCCGGTGCATGCGGCCGCATGTTGGGGTCATGTAAGTACGAAAAATAATTAACAGTATTCAATGGATTTTTTAATTTAATTTGATTTTGAAATAAATTAAGTTTAATTTAATTGAA